TAATTGTTGCGCTTTGGTACTATCGAGTACGCATAGCCATCCCATCTGCCCACCACAGCACCTGTGCTGAAGCAGCTTTAAAATCAAATTGAACAACTGAATAACTGATCAGGCCCATGATTGCACTTCTGTGAGAAAAACCAACCGTATTTGCACCTCAAGCAGATACGCCAAACTCTAAAATCCGGCCAGACAGAAGAACCAAGCGTCCCGAACGCACCGCAACATCCCAGTCTCCAGCTGTTTCAAGTCCCCCATGCTTTCCCACACGAACATGTCCACTACTGAATGCCCGGTTCCACATCCTCAGTGTCGAACCCAGTAGCTTGATGACGATCTTGTCATCTCAACATCCCGGCCACTCCCCTGTACCAAGGATACACGAGCATAGTGCACATAAGGTGCGTTTTGGGGAGAGAATCCATAAATGCCATTGCAGGTCCAGAAAAAGGAAGTGTCACAGCGCGGATGTCCATCGCCAATGTAGTTTAACTAAATGCAAACTAGCAGAAACGCATGATACTTAGCCGATGAACCTGAGGTGCAATCAAGGTGATTTAAGCCATTTGTTCAATAAAATCCTCAAATCCAACTTCAGTACAACAAAAGATAATGAAATAGACGATCGTGATCGATGTACCTCCGTCTGTACGTTTCGAGCTGAGTCTGTTAAATTGAGATGCATGGAGCAATCAGTGACAAATTAAAAGTAACATTAGAGGAACGCAATCGTATTTTGCCTTCAGCTGCCAGCTAGTGAGTTTCCATGCCAGCTGTCCTCTATACCATGGGGCGCGGTCTCTTTTGGGTCTTCTACGTTGGCATGTGAAAGAAAATAGTAATTTGATCAGCTTCACTGGTAATTCAATTATCTTTTAACTGAAACTCCTTTCTACCACACTTGTTGCTACCATAAAATCTTAAGCGGTCGCGTCCACACTAAGTTCCTCAGGTTATTTCCTAAAAGTTGTCAGCGCTAACTTGCAATCTTAATCCACTTGTAGTGATCCTTCACCCTTCAGTAATTTACAACATTACATTTCATTGGTCCTTTTACTTTGCAAGCGCAAATTTGGCTGACTGATAGTAAATCCCCATCACCTAAGTTTCCCAGGTGTGTTGTGCGCTAAGCTACTCTTTACACTCGTTTACCTGCTTTCCATCCCTTGCAACTTTTCGCAATACACGTTAAATCCAGCTGCTCTATTTCTTCTCCTCATTCTCGTCTCGTCTCCTTCGACTATAGTAGCTCAGTAGCAACACACAACCTTCCGCTTTGATTAGCCACATGAAACCCGTAAGCAATCGCACACGAATACACTACAGCATTGCGCTGAGGGAAATGCTTACACCAATTACATTGACCGCACCCTTTGTGTGTGTGCAAGCATTAATGTCCAGAGAAATTAATCGAAACAGAGGTAGTCCTGACATTCACTACTCAAATGAAGGTACTTTAAATTTCGACACCACTGATATTGAAAACAGAACTGGGTCTAAAATTGTTGCTACTTGTGTTAATTGTGGGCGTATTTACACGCTAATTATGCATGATTAACTATCATTTGAGGAAATGGTATTTCATGGAGAAAATCGCCGGGTTCCGAATGCTCCATTAGGTAATGCATGTTTCCAATTTGCTGTGACCTCCTGGCTTCAACAAAAACACTTTGCTGTCCTAAAGCTACATATTAACTCAAAGAATTGCATGTCTCCTTTTGAATAACATGGTTTTGATTTCTTAACTGATTGACAAAAGTGGCTAGATAACGACCAAATGGGTGAAGGATATTCCTCGGGTCGTTTGGTTAATAATATAATGCAAACCAGCGTTTTGCTGTGCACATAAACCTCAAATCAACCAGTTGAGCACTGATTTAATCATCACCTCAAATGTTTAACACTTTCTTACAGATTTAACAGTTTATTTCAGCCTTCTCTCTGTCTTATGTTTATCGGGAGCAAAACATGCTAGATAAGATGGAGAATATGTATTGCCTGAACACCAGAGACACACAACAAAATTATCAACAATAGATTGCCCAAGTATATTACCTCTATGGAACACCTATATTCCAGAAAGAAAGGAATGATCCTTGTTAAACAAGGTATCTAACATATAGCAGTTTGGACAATGTTACATAGACGCTTATCCTTGAACAAGTTTCAAAGGCAAATATGCAAGTACTCATAAAACGGTTGACGGAAAGAAGGGTGTTCTTTAAAAGTATGTGCCTGAGCTGGGCGACGTTCACCCATTTCCACCTATTTTAAGGGAACAAGGCAAGGGACGTTCGGAATCGCGTTTCGGATAGTTGCAGTGTGAAATCTTACGGAGCTCATCGTCACTGACTATTTGTATGAGGCTGATATATATATATATATATATATATATATATATATATATATATATATATATATATATATATATATAATATAGAAGCGGCACGTGGGGAAACCAACGTTACGCTACCAGGACATGAATAAGGTAAGCCTCACAAGTTCTAATATTGATTGCAGATCATGGGAATCGAAGGCGGTTGATCGGCGTGTATGGCGCGATCTGATCACGAATGAAGTTGCCGAGGTACATGAGAAAGCCTTCATGAATGCATGGAAGAAGCGGCAAGTGCGGAAGCGGCAAGTACCGACGGGTTGTTCTTCATCGACATCAATCGCATGGTGTTGTAAAACATGCGGTCGCGAGTGCCTGAGTCAGACAGGCCTAGTGAGCCATGAGCGAGGTCACTCGGGACCATTACAGAAGCGACGACGGGTCCTGCAGAGAACGTAGGCAGAACCGGCGCGGCGTTTGTAGGTACGCTGCATTCGATTTACTAACCGCGCGCTTGCATGCTAAGTCTCTTTATTTCAGGTGGTGGGTTTTCAATTTTGCCCTAATGCTTTTCTTTCTCATATAAATGTCTACCAGTACTTTTCCATTAACTTGCACACCTCGCTTAAGCCAATTGTATTCGATTCCCACAACATTTTCGTGTTCGTGGCATTTCCGTAAAGTATACTTCCTGACCTCGTGAACTTATCTAGGATTCGTCTGTGAACAACTTATTTCATATGCTCATTAACTTAAGGATTATGTCAACGTTTCCTTATACATTAATCGAGTTATTTTCTTTGTCTCTCTCTCTCTCAAGTGATTGGCTGTTGTTTGATATTCCCGGTGTGTCTGCGCTTGATGTGCATGTTGACAAGGTGCCTACCTGTCTATTACCTACTACCTCGTCCATACTGGCTCCAGGAGATAGTTGGTCGTTGCTGGAAGGGCCAAGGTGCACCGTCCTTGTGGTCGTGCTATGCTCGAAAAGTGGTTCCATGCTCTCAGTGTGGAGCGGACTACGGTCCAGCCACCGCCTTGTGTGCGCTTGATTCCCAAATACAGCGTGCTTGTGTTTGCCTGTGAAGGAGTATGGGCCGGCTCCGTTGATGAAACGTGGCTCCCATCCACATGCCTCCTGGTCTTATTCCTTCGGGTTTACCCTGGATATTTGGTGTGTGGTTGGAGCTGTGGGAGGTGCAGCGCAAGCTACCCATGGTTCCTCTGTAGGCGCAGGCGTTCTGTGGTTGGCCACAGTGACATGCATATATATATATATATATATATATATATATATATATATATATATATAACACTCAGCATCCACTATTAATCTTGACTGACAATTCCTGTTCAGGCATCACTGTCACCCTGTGAAATTAGGACATCTGCCAATGTAAACAAGCTTATGTGAACCTTCATATAGGCAGTCTAATCTCCCGTTTTGACATCAGTACTTTTTTAAACTTTAGGACTAGAGGAGCAAAGCGAAACCCCAACTGATCGGAAAATGTATCATCTAAGCGAGAGATTTTACTAGCGAATTTTGCGGTCGAGAAATCTAGCTTGGATTTAGGCGTTGGTTACATACCTTATTTTCTACGTAGTGGACTGAAATTGTTTTGTGTAAGATTTCGTATTCATAGGCTTAAGCACATTTATCCATTTTGTCGTTACTTGTTGTGTTCCAACCGTTAGATCACTATTTAAAAGTATCATAACAGCAATTAGAGTGATCTCATTGTTATCCACAAAGGCGAGGTAAGGTAGACTCGGGACGCAAGTGCCCCACATTGGTGCTAAGCAACCGATGTGCCAAACAGGATGTAAAACTTTTCCACCTTAATTTTAACAGTTAAAGCATGATGGGATTTTGTTTATTCTCATAGAACCACTGACTAGCTTGAAATACTAAATCCCTAAAGCCACAGTAGAATAATGATGGTAAAATGCGATAACCATCGACAATGAATCGCTGCCTTGCCACAACAGGGCAATAGGTGCCGCAACTTTTGGGTTTACAACGTCGATACTTGATCTCAATTATAAAGTAAAAGCGTTGGTGTCAAAAGACACATAGTCACCTGGCTATTGGGAGATAATGGTGTCGGTACCTTCAAATATGTGGCAGTAGGCGATAGCACTGCCTAAATACTTTTGAATTCACTTGGACGAGGCCTCTTAAGCGAACACTTGGTTAAGATCAAGATAGAATGCACAATGTTCAAAGTTGGTACACTGTCTGCTCCTGACAGAAGTAGCATTGCATCGGAAGCATCCAACGCGTGAAATCTGCGATGCATTCACTGGGTACTCATTAGGACCTTTCGGTATCTACCAGCACCTAAGGTGTGTTTATATTGTCACTCTCCATTAGGGCGCATTTTGAGTAACATAAGTACCCCACTGAATTTCTAGCTTCGAAATAAAGGTAACCCCGATAGATAGTCACCCGGTGATCCCGGTGTCACAGAGCAAATACTGCTGATGTATGAATTAAGCTCCTGCCTGTTGTATTTGGAGGACATGAGTAAAGACGACGTTGGTGTATGAAGGGCTACTATTGTATCCAGACACATTGTTGTTGCCAGCTCATACAGGGTATCGATAAATAGGTAGGCCAGTGTTATGTCCAACATAGAGTTATGCATTTAGGTAGACTCACCTTAAAGTATTCCAATTTCATGCCTGGTATCGTCGCATGCCGAGCACCCAAAAGTATCAGCCGCTCGTAGCATTCATCCCAATTGCCATTCAATGCCTCTATTGCGTCCTCAAGTACTTGCATGAAAGTCAGAATGTGTTGTTTTGCCCTGGGATGTTGGCCCACATTTGCCCGACCAAAAATGCTGCAGAGAAGTAAGGGCATGAAATGGCCTTTAGCAGATATTTGAGTGCACACTTAAATGCTCCTGGTAAAATGCAAAGTTCAACTGCATATCTAAGAGCCTACATATAAATATACGGTATAATTTGAAACTTTTAATCGCTGAAGGTACGCTTGCATCTCTCCGAAGCTCGATTTTAAATTAGTCGTTTGCAGGAAATTCGGAAATAGCGGAGCGGGCTCAAAGGTTACGTTCCGCAAGTGGCCCAGCTACAGACCGTTGCAGTGGTGAAAATTCACTTACTTCAATAGCTCAGTTGTTTTGGACTCAACTGTACGCTGAACCACTTGTTCAGTTGTCTTGAAACACCCGTTATACGTATGAATTTCCACAGGCGGTCTCAAATAGAACAGTGAAAACAGACGTAACTCGTCGTTAAGTGTACCGCTAAAGTAACTCCTTTAGTGACAAGCGCTTATGCAGAATATTCGAGTCAACCAAAATTACAGCGTTTTGACCGGAGTTGAAGGATATGTTTATCGTGCATTTTCATAAGCAACAACGTTTCCTAGTCAATAATCCTTTGGTGCAGTGAAACAAACAACGAGGTACTGACCGTATCACACACAAACTTCGGTCAGCCAGCGCGGTCTACTTGATAGACAATTGAGCCTGCTGCTTTTGAAGATTAAAACCGTCAAATTGCTTATCCACTGACTGTCTAGATTGTTCTTAGGCATCATTTGTTCCCTTTGACAGGACAGTGCAATCACAAATGGCCATGTAGCGAGCGGGCAACGCCCAACTGATACCGCCTCAGTGACCCGAATGAGTGAGGGTCACTTCACCAGGAATCACGGTCCCGTCTGAGAATGTTTGTCGCCATTCATTAAAGCAGTAAGAGCTACAAAGCATAGCAAAATTGTGCAAAACTTGGCCCGAAGGGCTGTACTTCGCAACCGACCAAACATCAAATGTTAACATTACCTCCGGTTCACAAAAAACATTTTACTATTTTTTACCTAAAGGGTACAGACAAATACAAACACTGTCTTGCAGTGCAGAAGTGAAAGCGGGAAATGGCATTTGCACACACTTGCTTCAATGCTGAGTATTGGACTGGGCCATCTTTGTTTGGATTGGGACACGCCATCTACTGGAACCGCAGTTTACTTTGGAGTAAACGCTGGTCTTTCTTACTGCATGGACCGTATCCGAAGCTAGAAGTTTCTAGTGTGGCTTGTTCCCAAAAGTGCACCCCATTACCAGGTTAGTGTTTTCGTTTATTTATCAAAAAGAGACTCAGAGCTTGGTCTAGAACCCTAGTCGTATTGGCTGGCGACTGACGCCGTAATTACTAGGTCACATAGCTCACTGAGCAACATAAAATCTCTCCACATTGGATTAAGTTACTTCGGCTTTTAACGCTAAAACAGCAGTAATTGGCGTTGGCTTAAGACAGGAGAAGAAGCGCGAGCTTAGCAAGTTTCGCGGAATTGCGCACGCGCAAACAGTACTTTTAAAATAAATCAAAACATAGAGCCAAACAAGGTGACAAAATCACATGGGAAATGCGACAATACAATACAGCAAAGCGATTAGACTAGATACCTATAAAATACTCTATTCACAGAATGTAAAAGAACCTCTGATTTCGTGACTCTCAATTTCCGACAAGAGTTCCAACTTTGACCGTTCCCCTAGTTTCGTGTTAGGAGAACAATGAACAATGAATGTTGTGAAGCGTAGCTTTACAAGTTCCGTTGGATAATTGGTGGGGATAACGAAATAATAATAATCTTAATAATAATAATACTGAAAACAATAATAATGACAATAATAAAAATAGCAACATTTAGTTTAAATGTAAAAATAAGGATTTATCCTTTACTCCCTTGTAATTCTGCAATCCGTGTAAATTCACATCACCCACAATTAACATCATATGAATCAATGATGCACTCCCGGAGTAGGATGGCGATGTAGCGCTAAGGGACGGAATGTAAGTAGATGAGTGCGTCATCCAATCGTCTTTTAATTACTATTAGTGTCGGGGCACAGACGACCGATTCTGGGAGAACATTTTACGGGTGAGAGACACAAATAGAAGTGCAGTTTCTGCGGCACCCCGGACGGCTATACTGTTTTGCGAATTTCAATGGGTGGCTCATCAAATTTGTATTGCTGCTGAGTTGCAGTAAAGGATGGCACAAATGTTGTGGTTTTGCAGAATCAAGTATGTCATAATCAGGTCGCCTTGTAGTCTGCGATAGCTTTCACTGAATATCCTCAGTCGTTGCAGCCCCACCTCGTACGCAAGGTTGAGCATTTCAATTACGTTCTTAAATGCCCAACGTTTAGGCTGCTCCAATGCGTTAAGGTCGTGTTTCAGCCATGGATACTATGCCTTAATGGAGTATTCGACATGAGGGCGAACATACGCAATGAACATTTGTCGAAATATGGAGCTGTTTATTTGTCCAAACGCCAGTCGCAACAGCTGGATGTGTTGGTTTCTAGTCTTCGAAGTGTTTTCGGATTGTCTGGAGCAACCCAATTTCCTGCTGCATTATGCGTGTAGTAGACCGCGTAGCTGGTGCAATTGTTAAACTACATGAAGATTTTATCTGTGCCACATCGAACATCCAATTGATATTTGCTGCATTTCTATTTCTGCTAAATACTAGGTACCTTTGCAAAACAAGCTGGCTTGGTTTCCGAGGTTATTCTTTTAAGAATGTCGAATCCGCCAACTAACCCAAAGTGGACATTACCCAAGGAGTGTTTAGTCGAACACAAGATTACCAAAAAGGAGTCTGTTATGACCTTACGTGATTTTACGCGTCCCTTTCAGTCGCCCTGTGGTGAATGTCCCAGACTTTTTTAATACCAGCACCATGTTCTTTAGCAGAGGTTACTATTTATGCGTTGACGCTAGCTCTGATTCCGAGTCACTACCATGCCTATTCCTGTTAGTCTGAGCTAAGACTATTTCGATTCCAACTAATATTTATAACCGCTGATCTATATTAGTATGGCCATTTGATACTTGAACTATGACGGAGTTTAGCAATATCGTGTTTATTGAAATTTCGAGATCACAGGCACATGGACAACTACAAATGTTTGTCTGCAGCGCTTAATGAACTAGATGAAGTAACTTTTGCTACTTTGGATGACTGCGATATACTCTCGTTCGTCAATCTTAAATTGTCAGAGATTTCGTCAAGATTTCATGATCGGACACATGAAAATCACACGGGATAAGAATGCACGTGCCCTTTCTATGCAAAGCTATTCACAGTGAGAAAGCAAGGCAAGATCCCGTTCCTAGAGCAAAGACATTTAGAGGGAGCGAGAAAGGACTAGGACCATGCATACGTTTGATGTATTGACCACTGACGGCAGAAGAAGAAGGTAATTGCCAGCGTCTTCAGGTCAGCTACTAGTTGGCAATAAAATGTGCAAGTCTCAAAATTGCTTCACGTCCATACATGTAGCAGTCATTTTGGGACAACGACAGTGCTTGCCTGGCGACCTCGGTTTTACTGAAGTTATAGCAAAACCGTGATTCCGCTAAAAAAAGTTAGCTCTTATCCATTTTCTGTCTGATGGGGTTGAATATCTACTGGCTTGTTGCGTAATGTAGTAATGGTTTATGACGGGCATAGAAGCAAGTGCTTGACATGTCCTGTAGGATAGTGAGGGTGCAAATCGCGTAAGTAAGAACATCGTCGGTAAAAGAAGTTGTACGTTATGTGACTCAACAAGGGGTTTGGAGTATCACATTTGTGAGTATTCCTGCCTGGATGATAAGGGGGTTATGATGACGTCCACTGTTTGTTGTGCACTAATGCCATCACCTGATGGTCATGTACTACATCACGTAGTGTAGATGTGTCAGAGTACCTTCATGGCATTGTTTGGAAAGGGATAAAGTGAGAGCAATTATTACAAGTGCCGGGAGGTCGATTCATATTTGTGACACTCAGAAGAAAAGAAGTGTCCTCACCTTTCCAGTCGACTGTACTGCGTGGCCATCTTAAACTGATGACTCCTTAGAGATGTGTTCTGACTGAGTTTAAAAAAGACGGGCTTGTGTGGTTTGGGTTTCTCAGGATCTGGTACACCGATATGAGAGCGTCTCTTAGAAGCTGGTAACGTCCCCGGTATATATTGAGCGTTTTCAGCCTGAGTAGATAAGGTCGATGGGGCAAACATCTGACGTTTTTTGTCGCTCTGCTTTGCGCAGTACCTAGCGTAGAGGAGTGGTGCTTCTGCCAGGGTTGCCAAGCTTGTATAGCATATTCCATGTGCGGCCTAACGTACGCGCCAAGCATTTTCGCGAAGACTGTGACGTCAAAGTTCCCGGAAGCTCTACGAAGAAGGCCGAAGTGCTGGTTTGCTTTTTGGTGCCTTTTCAATCTGCCTCAAAAACCCAATCTCCTCTTGTACAAACACGCCAAAGTGGCACTCATGAGAAGCTTGCTGTAGAATTTGTGTTCCTAAGTGGTACTTGTGAGTATACTGATCGCCTATGCTCAGAATTTTGCACTTGATGTTGTTGAAATGCAGTAGGTTATCGACGGACCATGTGTACGCTTTGCCCAGGTCATCCTATAGGGATGCGTGATCATCCACTGAGGCAGTAACATGCCATATCTTTAGATTATCTGTACATAGCAGACAGCTTGAAGATAGTAATTTTGCAAGATCATTTATGAAAACCAGGAGCAGGCGTGGCTCGAGTACCGAGCCATGAGGTACGCCTCACTGAACTTCGGTTGGTTCCGACAGGGTGCTGCAAACCCTCACATTCAGGTGACGTTAAAGGAGAACGTCACATACCCATCCCAGAATGGGTCCGCGGGAACCATAATTTCGGAATTTGTGTAGTAGAATGCGGTGGTCCAGGCAGTTGAATACCTTTGAGTAATTCAGGTAAACATTATTATACTTTCAAGCTACCGTGCAGATGATGATTTATAGTGAGTTTGGGTCCACCAGGGAAGCATCAGGTG